TCTTCTCTAGACTGTTGCAACACAGTGGCAGACTTTATTATGTAATTGTTTCTGTTTCTAACCTCGGCCTAACCCAACAAAAGCAGAAGTATCTGAAAGAAAATACTTGGGGGAAGAAGGGAAGGAAATGATTGCTACATTTTTTCCAAGCTAGGCTTATATGACTCTGTGAACCACTCTACTTGTACTATTTTAAAAGAAAGACAAGATAAACCTCAAAACATGCATCATTTACACTAGAATTAGGTATGTAGAATTGTCACTTCAAAATTATGAGCTAGAAAAAAATTTCATTTGCCAGTAAGTTTAACAGCAAGTAAATTGAATTGCAGTATTAAATTTTGTTGTTCCTCACTCTTCATAGTCCTGTTGTATAATTATTTTTAAAATATCTTACGAGGATACGCTGTTTTAGAAATATTACTGCAGAAATGATAGTTGATTGGGCTGTTGGACTGTTTTAAAGATGCTCTAAGACGAGTTTAGCTCTATTTTGTGAAGAACATTTTGCAAATTCTCAATGGATTTTAAGCTTCCAAAGCAACACCTGCAGATAATGTGTTTTTCCTTCTCTGGCAGCTATGAGCATTTAGCAGCATGATGTGTAGTGATTTGAGGTTGAATATAAGTGTGTGTTCTGAATGGTTTTTTTCCTTGTTTAGCAGTAGTGTAATAGTCAGTAGTGAGTAAGGAAGTCCAGCTGATAAAGAATGCTGCTGTGTTTCTTTTTGACAAGGTTGATAACAGCAAATATAATAACCCTCTTTTAAACTGACTTCAATTTTATGCTGACTTCTTCCCACAGAGCATCAAATAGAGACCAGGGATTGCCACAGAACCTGCTAAAAATCTCTGTAGACTAATCATAGATGTACAATGTAGACAGTGGTTATCATCATCATTACTTTGGTTCAGTGAAATGTCCTACAGCACAGGTATTGTTTTTCTCTCTTGGATCATCAGCCAAAAGAATACCTGTGAAGGGAGATTTTCAACAGCCACAGCCAGCTTGTCTGCTTTGTGTGTTTTTCTGTAATGTAAAGGTAAAACAGCATACACATAGTGTGCACAGGATGCTAATCACACTTCCAGCAGCTCTGCTTGCAGGCTTTCTTGTATTATTGTCATAAAGCAACATAATCACCTTTGTAGGCCATGCACAAAGAGAATGGAGAACTTTTTTCATGCTTTTGCAAGTGCTCTGGGGGCAATAAGTTGGGCAGTAATTTGTTGCTGTCATTCTTGAACACCTTGTCCATTGCCAGAATGGAGGACAAGAAACCCTTGTGTTAAAAAAAAGATACCTGCAAATTGGAAATAATCTATATTTTTGTATCTTAAAATGTGACTGCTGCATCTTTTCAGGGAAGAACACTGATTGGTCAGCTGTGTGTGGTGCTGGCTACTGGTGTTGGAGCTAAGCAGAAATACTTTCATGCCATCCAGAGCAGTTCTGTGAGACAGCATGGAAAAGCTGGGACTTGTATATGCAGCTCTACATCCATTTGCAAAATGTTTTACAGACAACTACAAGGAAATCAGAGGTTCAAATCAGCAGGGGAGTGCCAGTGTCAGCATTTCCTCCAGATGATCCACTGCTTTGATGTTACCTCCTGCTCTGTGTAAAACTTACAACCATATCTTTATTTCTGGGTTGTGTTAGAGCTGACTTGCTCTCACTGTTTATAACAAGGCAGAATTACAGCAACAAAGGAACCCCCCAGTAAGTGCTGCCTTCAGTTGCAGAGCAAGTCCCTGATAGTTGCTGGGCACTGTTGGAAAGAGAGAAACTACAGAATCTGTTCCTTTAATGTGTATGGAGAAGATTTTTCATCTAATGTGAATTTTGTGCTAGCAAATATGATAAAATGCTTGCAATATTTACAATTTTAATTTGTTTTTAAGGTTTTTTTATAACTGCATGTTGCAAACACATCTATGTGAAAGCTGAACATTTGTTCATCCTGCAGATGTTGACATTGACAATGTGAAGATTTTTTAATCTTCCCCCTCTCTAGGTATTGTAGTTGATAATAACTGTTGATTTTGTTTGTATATTAAATAGTTGAAAGCTCTCAATTTTGAAGCTTCATGGAAAGTACTGTGGATGTTGCAGAATCTATCCCTGATAGCATGGAACATGGGTTTAGCTTGCAACAGGGCAAATCAGGGATCCTTGACAAAACCAGCATTGTGCTGGACACTATTCAGTGGTTTGCTCTGAGCCAGTGTGGCCACCACCATGTACTTCATGTAGAGTAATGTTACTGGAAGATTTTTCCCTTAGGTTTTTTTCACATTGCACATGACTGAAACGGTTTGAAATATTGAACCTGTCATTTAGACTTGCAGTGTTCTTGGAGTTCTCATCTCAGTTTTTCTGTCATTTCGTTTGGATAAAATCATGCCCTTTAGGGAAAACAGTTTGGCTTTAATCCTTCATAGCCACAATGTAGATTGTATGCGTAGATTATAAAATCTCCCTCAATTCATAGCTGATGTTTTGTAGGTTCTTGACAGATACAGCTCTTAAAACTAGAGTCAGCACTTGTGCTGTCACTTCTGTAATAGTCACAGAGACTAAAGAGGGACTCTTGTCTGAAACGCAGCAGGCGAAGCCTATGTATTGCGTTCAATGTTTTTGCATTTCAAATGTGACCAAACTTTGGATGAGTGCATTCAGCAGGGATTTTGAGAAGCTTTGTTGAATTAAAATGAATCTCTTTCACTGAGCTTTGCTGCCAAAAACACTTTTAGTGGGGTATGTTTGTGTTTACAGCAGTACAGCTGATACTTGTCAGCTATCTCACTGCCTATCTTAGCATAGACAAGGGTTGGAAAATGTATCTGAGGAGTAAATTCAAACCCTCTTTTCTCACTTAACCTCCCTCTGTCACAGTAAGATCTCTACTTCTATGAAAAAGCATAAGACATAAGAGTGTAGAGGAGCTTGGCAAGAACAGGTAGCTGTTGAGTTTGTTGGGGTATTTTTTCAAGCTGTTGTTAAATGTAAAACCAAACTGTTAGCTTCTGTTTTTCACAGTGGCCTTGGACTAAGTGCATTTGAATATCATCAGAAATTCTGGGGTGTTGGCGTTTTCTCCTAACTCCTCAATTGCTTGTGTGTAGTGTTTCTGAGTGAGAAGTGAGCATTTGAGATTGCCCCAAAGTCAAGTACAATGAAACTAAAACAAATAATCATAGTCAAAAGTATGAAGCAGAGCTGAAAATACAGCCTTCAAATGTATTTGGCCATCAGAAACGAGGAAGATTGTGGGATTATTCAAAATACATATGGATTGTAGTTGTTTCTATTGCATCTGTTAATTTGGAATTAAAGAACTAAGTGTCAAAGCCTTGTATTCTGTTACAGGACCAGCACTGGCTTGAGTCAGATGGGCTGAGTGAAATCAGTCCAATTGTTAGTATAGCTTTGTCAGTGCTTTCCAAATTTTTGTTAGCGTAGTCCCAGGCTTACTGGAAATTGTGACTTCAAGCTGGACTGTCCCTTCTAGCCAGAATTATCCTACAATCCTGTGATTCTGTCAAATAAACTTTCCAATGGGAGCTACATGCTGACCTACCCAGCTTGTTTCTACCTATGGCCTGATTGGGTCTTAGAGCTGTTTCCCAGAGGTGAACAAGGAAGAGATCTGGTTTCTTTCACATCCATGTCAAGTAGTAATAATGTGTGATCTGGTGTTGGCAAGTCATGTAGCTGATCGCTTGGGGGTAATTCTGAACTTAGTGAGCACAAGGTCTCTTGAGCAGCTCAAATATGTTCCTCATTAAAGCTCTGGATGAGCACTGTGCTTAAGTTGCATTTGTGAAAATGAGCTATCAGATGGTATTTGTTAATTTTTACAAAAGCTGTCTATTTTTCTTTGTTAATTTTTACAAAAGCTGTCTATTTTTCTTTCTTTGTGAGGTCATCTCAATCTCCAGTCTCATCAAATGGTGCCCCAAGCTGCAATAACTGGTGGACTAGTGTGTGAGGGTTGTTGCCTTATTGTGAGTCTGGATGGCCTGTGTGAATGTGAATTACAGTCATGGCTTTCAGTTCTTTGGTGGCGTAAGCAGTTGTGCCAAGTAATCCTAAACCTGCTTTCTAACTCTGTCTTACCCTACAGGGAAAAAAAAAAATGTGGG